TAAAAAAAAAAAAGAAGAAAATCTGGAAAAAAAAGAAAATGATTTTCAAAAGAACTTTAGGGGAGAGAGGATATTTTTCATGGAGTTAAAACTTGAGGCTTATGTTTATTGGCTCTCATAAGAAGGAGTTTTGTGAAAGAAGAGATTTTCTTTTGTGGTTAGATGGAATTTCAGGTAGACATTTTAGATCTTTGGAGCTGGGGCAGTTTTATTCATCTTTGTACCCCCAGGTCCAAGTATACCACCTAACCCACACTAGGTGCTAAAAATTGTTATCTGAGCTGAACCTAGTACTCATTCTTGAGGGAATAATAAAAACAAGTTTATCTTGGATAAAAAGAGTAAGTTTTTGATGTTCTCTTTTAGTCACTCTCCAAAATGTTCCCTTTCAGAAAATGTTTTCATGCACAGTATATTGAAACCACAAGTACTGGCTTTGTATTTCAAAGTTGGAAAAAATGAGATTGATATCCCACACAGTTGTAAAATGCCAAAAATAAGTAGAGCTGAAATGAGTTAAAGCCCAGTGCTCAGAAAAGCCATGTAAAAGCTTCAGAATAATTGAAAGGGGCCAAATAAGTATTTAAAACCACCTCTCCTGGGACTACTAAGATTTCTGAATTTCAAATTGGCATTTTATGTTTGACAAGGTGACATTGTATAAGGAATGTATTGTAAAACACTGCTGTACGATAGGAAAATGATTGAATGTAAATATTTCAAGATGTAGACCACTGTTCAAATGTTATCATAAATCTTTGCCATTGTTTTAGGGGATAACTCTTCCTGCATGTATGAGCTGACTTGATAGAACTAGTTCTTAGAAGGGAAATTATCAGTGACTTTCTGCCTCTGTCACCACAAGTCTGATTTGACAAAAAGTATCCTGTTAGATCTTGCCATTATTATCATATGCTTATTATTACTTAAAAGAGGAAATCTTTTTTTTTTTTTTAAGATATTACATCTGGCGTTCCTTTTGCTCTGCTTAGTGAATAATTTGAAATGTTTTCTGTGTGGAATCATAATGGGCTGGGGCAATTTATGCTCTTAAACTTTGACAAGGAAAGAAAAAAACTTGAGCTAAAAGATTTACTATTCCATTTTTACAGGTTTGGAAGGTTTACAGTTGCTGCTCTTCAGTCCAAAGTAGAACAGTATGAACGTGAAACCAATCGCCTCAAGAAGGCCCTGGAACGAAGTGATAAATATATAGAGGAACTAGAATCTCAAGTTGCACAGCTGAAAAATTCAGGTGATGAGAAAGAAGGTGTGAGTTCCATTTGCCAGAGAGCACTTTCTACAGAGAGCAAGGGGAACAAAGGTAGCGAGGAGGATGTGGCAGCAAAGAGCCAAGGTGATGGTGCCAGAAAGCAGCCTGGCTTGTGCAGCTTGAGTTCTTCTCACCTGGCAAAGCCTTCCAGCAGCAGACTCTCTGATACCAGTTCTACCAGGCAGGAAAGCACCAGCAAAACAGAACCGAATTGTTCTAACAAAGACCTTTATCAAAAACAGGTAGAAATATTGTTAGATGTGACTGATACAAGTATGGATACTTATTTGGAGAGGGAGTGGGGTAATAAAACAAGTGAACGTGGATCCTACAAGGATGAAGAACTCTATGATCTCCCAGCTCCTTGTACTCCTTTGTCCCTGAGTTGTCTTCAGCTCGGTACTCCAGAAAATAGAGAGAGCTCTGTGGTCAAAGCCGGAGCCTCCAGAACGCACTCAAACCATCTCAGAAAACTGGTGTTTGAGGATTTCTGTGATTCTCCTAATGTTTGTAATAAAGATTCTCCAGAGGATGCTATAAGTAGAAGTGAAAATGAAAAGAAATCAGACTGTTTTACTTCCCCAAAGACAGGGTTTTGGGATTGCTGTTCCACAAGCTATGCCCAAAGCTTGGGTTTTGAAAGCTCAGAGGGGAACACCATAGAAAATACTGTTGGGGAAATATCTTCAAAATCGAGTGAGAAATCAGGCTCATGTTTATCCAAGAGGTTGAATTCTATTCGCTCTTTTGAAATGAATAGGACAAGAACATCTAGTGAAGCATCAATGGACGCAGCTTACCTTGACAAAATCTCTGAGTTGGATTCAATGATGTCAGAGTCAGACAACAGCAAGAGCCCCTGTAATAACGGTTTTAAGTCACTGGATTTGGAAGGGTTATCAAAGTCATCACAGAGCAGTGAATTTCTTGATGAACCAGATAAATTGGAAGAAAGAACTAAGCCAAACCTTCCCAAAGGTACTCTAACTACTGATCAGTTAGAAAATGGAAATGAATGGAAATCCACTTCTTTTTTTCTTCTCCCTCCATCTGACCAAGAAATGAATGAAGATTTTGCACTCCATCCCAGTTCCAATCCAGGAACTAATGAAATCAAACCGCCAAGCTGTTTGTTTCAGACAGAGTTTTCCCAGGGTGTTTTGTTAAGCAGTTCACATCGGCTATTTGAAGATCAAAGGTTTGGGTCATCTTTGTTTAAGATGTCCTCAGAGATGCATGGTCTTCAAAACCACCTTCAGTCTCCTTGGTCTACTTCCTTTGTACCTGAAAAGAGGAATAAAAATATGAATCATTCTACGAAAAGAAAAATCCAGAGCAGCCTTTCCAATGCCAGCCCCTCAAAAGCAACTAAAAGTTGACTCTTTAGAAAAGTGTCATTTGTGTTTGTGTCCTGAGAGGAATATGAAAGTTTTTATAAGTTACTTTATTTTTTCCATCAGAAAAGTTCTATACAATTTTGAATTGATAATCTTTAGTCAAGTGTCAAGTCACAATTGTGAATTAACCTAAACCCAGAATACTGTTGTTCATTTTGGAAGGATTTTGGTCTTTGTTTATATTTTTGTTTGGGGATCTTTTTGATTGAGAAAGGTAGGAAAAGGGTTGTTTTTTTTATTATTATTATTTTAAATATTGTATATATCTGGGTTAGGGATATTTTGTTTTCTTGAATTTAGACTTAACTATTATTAGACATAGTGGCCTGTTGATCAGCCTTAGTTGTCTCACTTGGATTTCTTAACAAAAACTTATAGTGCTGTCTAAACACTGCCCATAAAACACTTGACTGTCTTCAAAACTTTTCCTAGGGTGGGCATTATTTTCCCTGCCCCTTTTTATTTATGGTTAGTGATGGCCTAACTTTTAAGGCCATGATGGAGAAATAGCACTCTAACCTTAGTTCAATATTCATTTACTATTTTTAGACTTTACATGTGTTTGCATTTGTTAAACATGGTTATGTCCAGTATTTGTAAAAACATTCTGCTAGTGCTGAAAACACTTTCTGTTTGAAAATACTCATTTTATGTCAGGTAGGTTGTATTTGCTCATCTTTTATATGTGTGGAAATTGAGCTTACTTTGGACAGATGTTATGGCGATGTTGGGTTTGGAGAACCCTAAGTATGGTAGATTCATTGTGCCGGATGTACAGCTACAGAAGCACTCATTGCCAAGTTCTTGATCCACTGACCTCCCAGGGGAGCTCTTTTCAGAGTGAAGTTTTGGTTTGCATGTTACTGTTCTTTATGTAAATTGTGCATGCGTGGTAGCTTTCTTGCTTGCTCTGTTTTCCATACTTAAGAAAAATAAGTTTCAGTAATACAGCATCTTTTATGTAGAGCAAAATTCTTTTTTCTTTTTCATGAAGAGTGTGTGTGGGGAGGTGAGGATAGGTAAAAACAGCACAATTTTTAATTTAGGCTTAGAAAAAGTTTATTATTCTAAATGTGTTTGGTTTACTCGTACAGGCCTTTGAAAATCGGTTTGTATGCTGATAACTTGTGTAATGTGCACTGAACATTTTACATAAATCCTGTAATGTTTTACATTAATACTGCATGCTTTTCCATGTGAATTGAATAAAGGATGTCATAAGCACTGTAATCCTTGATATTGAATTGGCCCATAAAGAGCAAGAAAACGTACTGTGTTTAATTGATCATATACAAGGATTGGCAAGCTATGCCCCATGAGCTAAATCTGTCCCACCACCTGCTTATAAGCTTGTGAGCTGAAAATGGTTTTTTACAATTTTAAATGGTGAAAAACAAATCCAAACAATATTTCATGACTACTTATTCACATTTCAGTGTTTCTAAATAAAGTCTTTTTTTAAATATAATTTTTTTTATTTTGTTGTTGAGAATATATACAGCAACACCTACACCAATTCAACAGTTTCTATATGTACCATTTAGTGACACTAATTACTTTCTTTGAGTTGTACAACCATTCTCACCTTCCTTTTCTCAATTCTTCCTCGCCTATTAACATATCTAAATAAAGTCTTATTGGAACATAGCTGACCCATTTGTTTACTCCTTATGAGTGGCTACTTTTTCCATTACAAGTACAGAGTTAGCTGTGACAGAGACCAAATGGCTTGCAAAGTCTGAAATATTTACTCTCTGGCCTTTTACGGAGAAATTTATAGATTGCGGAGCTCTGGTAGCACAGTGCCTAAGGCATTTGACTGCTAACCTGAAGGCTGATGGTTCAAACCCACAGCCAGTCCACGAAAAATGGGGCAATCTACTTTTGTAAAGAGTTACTACCTAGGAAACCCAGTGGGGGGTTGCTATGAGTCAGAATCAACTCAGTGTCAGTGAGTTTGGTTTTATCACAGACTGAGGATTCAAAAAAGCTGTTAAGGTTACAAATCACTTTTGTGATTTAGAGAATCATTTCTTCTGTTTTCAGAAGTACTAAGAGCCAGAAAACACTGAGAGCATAACTTTTGTTTTTGTATATGTGGATAGTAATTATTTGTGCGTTATTTTATCTTTCTGATATTTTAAAGCTAGTGGTTACTTCCAGAGATATTAGCAGTTCAAATATCTTTGGCAATGTGATTATACATTATAAATTCAAATATGTAGATGTAGAAATCAAATTTTGCAGAATAGTCATAGGGTAAAATTGAGGGTAAACCTTGCTCTTAATTCTGTCTGTAATTCTTCCTTACGAAGAATGTGTCCATTTTTAACTTGAATAAATACATATTGACACTGCCATGAAAATCTGGAGTGGTTTACCAGTGCCTAATCCCCACTGCTTCATAAATTGCTCCACCCTACCCCCAAAGTATGTTTCATATTTTAATTTGTTCACACCATGACATTACTCAAAGGGAATAATCTATGCAGAATTTTTATTTTAACCATGCTTCTCATTTGTACTCTACCATAATCTGTCCCCAAAAATACGGTGGTCTCACATACTTTAAAATATACCTATAATGTACACACACTCTTAAACTTACCATCCATTGAGAGCAAGTACTTTGCTAATAATATTTGTCTCATTCAATTATTTTTTCAAATCTTGTGAGCTAAGTAGTAGTATCCACATTTCACAGATGAGAAAATTGAGGATTAGTAATTAACACAGCTGGAATGAGGGTAGAGTCTTAATCTTGGATGCCTCTGTGACTCCAGACATTGTTCTCTTCCTCTCCCAAAGTAGGAGTCCACATTTCTACATCATTGGATGGATTTGAAATTCCCCAACTACTAGTAGTAGTTTGGAAGTAAATTTCTTTTCAAGTAGCATTTAACCCTTGCCTGAGAGCTCTGGTGGCGTGGCGCCTAAGGCATTTGACTGCTAACCACAAGGCTGGCAGTTCAATAGTCACTCGTGGGAAGGAAGGTTGGGCAATCTACTTCTGTAGAGATACCACCTTGGAAACCTAAGGAGGGGTCAGTATGAGTCGGATCTGACTTGATGGCAATGAATTTGGTTTAGTGAGTGTGTTCGTAGTACTAACTCTACTACTAAGTAGAAGGTCAGTGATGGGAATTGTGTGTATACCACTTTTAAGTTTATAAAAGATTAACATTCACTGACAGGTCAGTTTAACCCTCTATGGGTTAATCTAGGAGCTCTGGTGGTGTAGTGGTTAAAAGAATTCAGCTGCTAACCAAAAGGTCAG